TTTGCCCTAACAAAGCAGATGTGCGCAAATGCATTTCCTCCTTCCTCCTCCGGGAAGCGGCAAGAGGTCGTAAAACTGCACGAGGAAGAAAAAAAACCTCAGGCTGCCCACTTCATAAACACGAGGGTGGATGATCTCCTTTGGGGCATCCAGAGATGGTTTACTACTTTCATGAGCTTTGTAAATCTGTTTACTGACAGGGTTATACCTTGCGTATGTTTTCTCGCATTGTGGCCACAGAACACGCTCTATGGAAAGGTCGACGTTTTGACCTTTTGCCGTGACATTGTCACTTACGGAAGGTTCTTCCTTTTTCGAATGGCACACGCGTATACGTTAATTAAAGCATCTATGCCACCTCGTGCTTTCCACAAACTACCCGGGCCAGCCCACCATCTTCAGGTTCCGGGGTAGTGGTTTCTCTGTTTCCCGGGTTAAAAATAGGCTCTCTAAATTGTGGGCCGCTACGTGTGGGATTGAAAAGGGTAATGTGATCTTGGCGATTGTGTTTTTGCGTGCTTTACAGCCATCCTGGGGTGACACATTGCGCTACAGTAAAGGATGCTGATGCGCTGGGGGTCTTCTGCAGCGCCAAGCTTGAGTTAGGACTGCTTATCCACGGCGCCTGGTAGAGCTAGTATGGGCGTGTACGTGTGAATGTTTTTCACATACCACTTTAATCGCGCTGGGGTATGCGGATGGGAACTGTGCGGGCATTATGTTTCCAGTTTGTGCCATCCGTATATTTTGCAGCGGTGGGGCCGTTTATGCTTTTCTTCGGAATAAGTGGGAACTTGCTTTGGTCAAAGTAGCACTTTATTTTGATAGCTTTTACCACAATATTCGCACCTCAGGTGTAGACACCGTTGGTTAACCCGCTCTGGTATATTGGGGCTTTCGGCAACGGCGTAATGGCAAGCTTGGGGGGCAGCCAGATCAGGGCCTTCCTAATTTTTTTCCGTTGTTGGGAGGGGTGTTGAGGCGCGCCCCATCGCTTTGTGCTCCCAGAACCCTTTTTTGCCCTCAGTGCTGTATCGGCAAAAAGGCATATGACCTCTTGAACTTCGGGCGGCGCCACCGTGGCTTAAAGAATCGCCCGCATGGATTGCAGCAGGGTTATGCCATGGTGCTTCTGCGGGCGCCCCCTGGTGGGCCATCGCCGTGTGCAAACCATGCTGCGTATCGGACGGAATGGTTTGCGTGCCTGCGTGAACCAAAAGCGGGGTGACATAACGAACTATGGGCTGATTCCCGCTTAAAAAGTGGTAGCGAGATGGGTTTCTTGTTTTCCCGGAGGGGTTTTTACGTTGCCCGTGGCAGCGGCATGATGGGCCCAAGACTTTTGTGGGAGTTCCATGGCCGTATCCGAAGTGTTGGGCAGGGCCTGTGCGGAATTGGGCAATGAGGGTTCCGCCGGCCCTAGGCATCGTAATTTTAAGCAGCGTTTTTAAAATGCCAACAAACATTTATCTCTGTGTAAGCTCTGCTGTGGGGATTCCCTTGTTCTTGGTTTGAGTGTAGAAGCGGCGGATCGCCATGAGAACATTCGCAACCCACGCTGAAGCGTTTTGTGGGCAGTCAAGGGCTTCCCTGGCGTATTTGTCAGCAAGTTCATTTTGACGGCCGCCTGCGTTGCTAATGAAGAAATGGGAGGCAAAATGCACCCCGCATTGACTGGAGAAGGATGGCTTACCCCCTTGGTTGGCGGAGGGCGCCGTCCTTCACCCGGGCTGGTGCGGTTTCAGGGGAAGTCAGCAGAAAAAAGTTGCTTTGAAGGCCGCCAAAAATCTACGTTTTTTTTTTTTTTTTTTTTTTTTTTNGGGGGGGGGGGGGGGCTGATCTCCGGCAGTGTCGAGGGACCTTTTTCCATCGCCAGGCATTTGGCGCCATAGCTGCGCGCAAGGTTTCCCCCACCGCATTTTACCGTGTGCTCCAGTTTGAATCTCCAATGGAGTAGGGCAGGCGCCCAGAGCATGCGCCACATTCCACCCAACAACCCGCGGGCAGGGGCGGCACCAAAGCAGATCCTTTTGACGCGACGCAGCAAAGAGGCATCATGTGGAACGCCGAGGTAGTCGATACAGGCCCTTTTGTTCTATAAAAGTCGAAGTGCTGGGTGAATTGGAAGCGACTCGGGGAAGGGTGCATGGGCATGTGGTGCGGCGTCTTTCCTGCAGGATTTGAGGCGGTGCCACCCCATACTTCTCACCAGAATTATGTCTGAGAGGGGGGGGGGTGCTGCCTTAAAGATATTTTCTCGAGAGGCCCCCGTGGGGATATTTGTAATGACATGAGCCGCATGCGCGTTGACCCCCTCAAGGTTATGAATTTTCTTGTGGGCAGCTATATTCCACCATGCCACTGCACCTTATAAAAGCTTTGAATTTATGAGAACCTTTTGCAGTGGGCGTGGCGCCTCGTGCTTGGGCCTCCAAGTCGCTGCATACATTGCTTTTATGTTGATGAGGTGGGGCTAGGCGGTGCAGAGTGTGAGATCCATGGGTTTTCTGATTTCGCAAAGAGGCTGAAGTGTCACTCCAAGCATGCGAGAGAAGCCATCCTCTCCAGGCTTCGCGCCATTTGCATTAAGCGCGGGGTTGCCAGTCAAGGCGGAGGCAAACAGCACACACACTTCGTCTTGGACGCGCTGATCTCGATAAAGTTTCATTTCCCCCATTTTGATATATAACCCACTGCCAGCTTCAGGGTGTGCTCTATAGTGTTCTTATCTTCCGCCTTTCTTGCCACTGTTCGATCGGCCGTGATAAGCGCATGCTCTAGGTTAGGAATTTTGAGCAGCCCCTCCCTCAGGGTATTCGCCGCTTTGATGGACAGCAGCTGGCCAATAACAGAGCCATGTAGAACTACAAATGTGAACTTGACCGGTTTCGAAAGCGTGTTCTGCAGACTCACTTCGGCTGCTCTGTTTGACAGCAAACTAGACACCCAGTGAATAAGATGGGCATCAGGCCCACAACTTATTCTGGCAGCGATGGCGCAGCCATGGTCCACAGAGTCAAAAGGTCCTAGCGCAGTCAGCAATAACAGCATCAGCCTTCTCCCCATTTGGATGGCACGTCGTGGGGGATAAGGCCTGAACTAACGGGCCCATTGTGGAGCATGGGGGGCAAAAACCCGTTTGATGGTGAAGAATGTTGGGCAACCATGTATCACGGATTCGGTGTGCGAGAATGTGTGTTCCGCCACTTGCAGCTGCAGCTGGTGATGGCAAATGGCAGGCAGGGCTCTTGGTCACTTGCTGACTTTCCTGACTTTAGGAGCGGGGTCGTGACTTCTTTCTTCCAGGATGTGGGAACCATTACTTTCTCAAGACTGGGGTTGAAAACGACCAGCGGCGCCTTAGCCCCGCAAGGGGAAGCTGGCGCAGTGCTTCACAGTGCGAAACGCCAGCGCCAGAGGCGGATCTCAGGTGCTTTTCGTGCAGAGTCATTCGCAATTTACCAATTAAAATCGAAATAGATGGCTTATGTGGTTGTGGGGGCCTGTGTAACTTTAGGGCCGGGTGGGGTTTAATAGACTTTGTGTCTCACATTCTGTCGGGTGGGTCTTTGTGCTCTTTTTTGGGAGCCTGCGATAGGAATGGTCAAGCCTTACCCTACTTATTGAGAGTGGGTCCTATAACTTAAAATAATACGTGTCTTCTTATCTTGCGTAAGGAACGTGTCGCAAAGCGTAAGTTTGAAACGAAAGGTAAGTCAGAAGCAAGCTATCACAATGATATCCACTACTTCCCAGCAGGCCCTCATGGACGTGGAATGGATGACGAGCCTGTCAGCTCTCAGGGCGTTCGTCGAACATTGCGG